GGGGACCTGTGAGGGCTGGTCGCGGGTTCTTGGGCTCGACGATTCGCGAGGCGGTAGTGACAGACGTGTGCAAGCCAAGAAGCTGGAGGCCTGTGACATTGGCGGCGCCTTCGGCTTCCTGGGCGGTGACTTCCACCACGTCGTCGTCATCGCTCTCGTGGGCGGGCGAAGAGTTGTTCGGGGGAACGTGGCGACGAGGTCCGGGGGCAGGAGCGTCGTCGATGTCTTCATCGTCGTCGTCGCGTGGGCGAGGAAGTACGCCGGGATGTTCGTCGGCGGGGTCGCGATCAAGTGCTGCTGCTGCTGCTTCGTCTTCTGGTGATGCAAAGCTGCGGCTGTTGTTAGCGTAGGCACGCGCGACGTTGCTGTGCTGGTCCGCAGTCCACTGTTCCAAGGTGAGTCGCTCGTAGAAGAGGATGTCACGCGCCGGTACGATCTTGTTGGTGTCAATGTCGAGGACCAGCTAGCCCTTGTACTCGTGGCTAAGTACCAAGTGAACTCCCCATCGTGCGCGCTGAGTGAACTTGCCGATGGTGGCGGATGTCGGCCGATACTGTACCACACACCCCCAAACCCTCAGCATGGAGGTATCTCCCCTTGTCCCGGTCCACTTCATGTGCGGGGAGAGATTTCCCCTGTTCGCCGTGGTGGAGAGAAGGTTGTGCAGGCGCACGGCGTGGTTCATGGCGTACGGCCAGTACTTCTTGGGTAGGCCGGACTGGTTCATGAGGGCGCGGGCCTTCGTCATGTGGGTGCGGTTGACTCTCTCTGGGACGCCTTGTTGCTGGTGAGCGTAGGGGAGTGAGATGTGGTGCTTGATCCCCTTCTCCGCGAGAAGCCCTTTCAACTCGTTGCTGGGAAGTGGTAATCGTTATGGTCATGGTAATGGTAGTGGTAATGGTAATGGTAATGGTAATGGTAATGGTAATGGTAGTGATAATGGTAATGGTAGTGGTAATGGTAATGGTAGTGGTAATGCCTTGGCGCCGTCGGTCTGCCAGATTTTCAGCTTTTTTCCTGATTCCCGTTGCGCGTGTGCGAGCCAGATGCGAAAGATCTCAGGAGCCTTGGAGCGGACGTTGACGTTGGCGACCCAGGCGTGCCTTGAGTACGCGTCCACAAAGGTGAGGGTGTTGTTCTCACCATTGACTCCTTCGTAGGTGAGCACGATGTAGTCGCTGTAGACCTTCTGCAGCTTCTTGTAGCGGTTGGTGCTCGGCTCCAGCGAGGGGTAGGCTTGGTGTGTGAGGGCAGCAGTGGGGCAAACGGTGCAGGTGGTTGGGTGTGATGTGCTGAGTGGTTCCGTGCCATCAGGGCGTAGCAGGGCTCCTGGCAGGAAAACTTTGGCGCGGAGGCAGTTGTTGAACGTCTGGAGCGAGGGGTGGCCGAGTCGCTGGTGCCAGAGATCATCTTCTGCGCGGACTCCGGGGGTGCGCAGGTAACGTGCGTGATATTGAGCTGCCTCTGCTTCTGTTTCTTGCGAGATGTCAAGCATGGGTCCTTCTTCCTCTCCTGGTTCTGCTTCGTCTTCCTCCTCCTCTGCTTCTGGTTCTGCTGCTGTCTCCCCGTCTGCAGGTGCTGTTGTGAGGTAGAGCGCGAGGAAGTTGCGATCGGGGATAATGTTGAGCGGAGTCCTGGTGCCCTCGATGAAGCGGGCGAATGGATCTGGGCGTGAGATTGGTCCAAGCGCGTCGCGAGGCGGGGTTGATGGTACGTTCCCCTCCTCAATCCCAGACCAGGTCCAATTCCAATTGTAAGGTGATTACGGCGGGGATGTGCGGTTGCGTGGAGGTCGTCCGAGGGGGACTACGCCTCGTGGGGGTGGTTGCTCTGTTGCGCGCTCGGCAGCAATCTCTCTCTCTCTCTATCTCCTCCAATTCTTCTCGGGTAGGCGGCGCATCCGAGTAGTCGTCGTTGACCCATCCGGTGCTGGTGCCACAGCCTCCTCCGCCAGTTGCTCCGCCAGTGCCCCAACCGCTTGTGGTGCCAGATGCACCAGTTGCTGATCCCCACGTTCCTCCGGTATCTCCCCAACCTCCTGCTCGTGCAGATTCCGGGCTCCATCCTGCAGCGAGGCGCTCTTGGTACAGGCGTTCCTTCTCCTCCTCTTGTGCTTTCTCTTCCTCTTCCTTGAGCTGAGTTCCTCGGGCTTGTCAGGATCTTTCCACTCCTTGTCGATGGTGCGGTAGACGTCGCGGGGGTAAGGGCGCGACCGATTCTCCTCATCGAACGTTCCGACCACTGAGAGTTTCCGGTGCGGGTATTGGCCGCTTCTGCTCCTCCATGCCGAGCTCTTCATTCCTGGTGCCGAAGATGCGGTGAGTGGTGACAGCCAGCTCCATTTCTGTCATGCCTTCAGGTTCGGCTTCGGGCCTTTCCGCTTCTTGAATTGCCGCGAAATCTCTCTCAACTTCTTCTGTGCGGCTCGCCGTGGGCGTGAAGCAGGTGGTGCAGAGTCCGTCCGGTCCGGGTTGGTGCAGGTTCATCTCACGAGGGTGAGGACAGCGGCGGATCCAGGGAGGTCCATCCGGATGCTGCCAGGATTCTGCGTTCATGCGGGAGAAGATTTCTGGAACGAGATCCACGAGTTCGTCCGACGACGCTCTGCAGTCAGGTATGTCGAAGTCGAGCACGTAGACTCCATCGATTGAGCGTGCTCTTCCGAGGTATTTGTGTGTTTCGGCGGGGGCATCAAGAGGAGCGAAGGATAGGATGAGGTCGCGGGTGAGAGGGTCGGTGGTGAACGTGACTCCGCAGTCAGAGAGTTGTGCCACGGACAGTAAGTTGAAGCGTAAGTCCCGCACGTAGAGCACGTCGTTGAAGGAGATGTGCATATTGTTGTCTCATGCTTGGAGCACGATGATGCCTTGCGCGTTTGCGCGCAGCTGTTCGTTGTTGGCATCAGTAACGTAGGTGGCGGGAGCGCGGCTGATGTTCGAGATGAAACAAACGGATCCCACCATGTGCTGGCCGCAACAACTGTCCAGGTACCAGGTGTTGTGGGCGGCGTTGTTGTTGCGGAGAAGCAGTGCGAGCCGTGGTGTAACGATAGTCGTCTGGTATCTTCTAAGGAAATGTTCATCCTCTCTCTATCCCACGGGAACCAAGCGCTGATGCTCATGAGGTGGGCTTTCTCTCAGTTGTATTGGCAGGTGCCATTCTTGCTCGTCCTCATCCTCGTAATTGTAGTGGCGTTCTGTAAGGGGATTGTTGTACCCTACTTCAGGTTGGATTAGCCCGCCGGCAGGTTCGTCCTCTTCGTCCGGTGAAGTAGCTCGTGGGCGACGTCTTGTCGCCATGTTCGCGATTACGTTTCTGGTAGCTCCCGTTTGGGGTGCTTGTGTTTGATGCTGCTGTTGTTGAGCAGGTGGACGAGGAGTTTGGTGTTGAGGCTGGGAATGTCGAGCGTCTTGTCGGCCAGCCCAGTTGTTTTGGTGAGAGGGATTCTGGGGGCGATTGTTGAACCGATACCTGCATCGGTTCGTTGAGTGTCCAAAAATCTTGCAGATTTTGCAGTAGTGGCGCCTCGGTTGTCGTCGCTCTTCTTGATTGTCGGCGTAGAAGGCGAGCTGGTTCCGTCGTGGCGCGGAGTTGGACTTGCTTGAGTCCATGTCTTGCTGTTCTATCAGAAGAGCGGCGCACAGGGCGGCTTCTGAGATTGTCCCCCTTTGTCGGAGCAGCGCTTTGCAGGGCTTCCACTCGGGCCCGAGTCCTTGAAGGACTATGTTGACGAAGATTTCCTCCGAAATTGCGCTTCCATGCTTCGTGATTTGATCACGGATGTTCCGACAGCGATTGATGTACGAATTCGCTTTCTCCCCGTTCCCCATCTTTGTCTCCATAAGTTGCTGCAGGAGCCTGTTGGTGGTTACTGAGTCCTTCGGCTGATATACCTCAACGAGGTGCTTCCAGGCTTACAAGGCTGGAGCGGCGCTCTCTTTGTAGGAGTGGATGCCGAGTTGCTCCGGGGGCGTCATGTTCCTTAGCAGCACGCTGTACGCCATGAGGGACCCGCTGTAGTATTGAGCCCGGGCGTCTTCGGTGTCTTCCACCGGTTTAGGATAGGAGCCGTCGAAGTAGTGGTAGATCTGCGCTGTCTGTAGGAGGAGCTCTAGCTCAAAACTCCATGTGTAGAAGTCTTTGCTGTTGAATGCGGCGGTAGTCTTGATTTTGGAGATGCTAAGGAAGCGTGCTTGCGCAGAGTTAATGACTTCATCACTTGGACGAGGGGGCTGTTGGTGTTGACTTGTCTGTGTCGGGGGAGAAGGTGTGCGCGGCGGTATCACGGCTATTTGTGGCCGGTTGAGCAGGTTGTGCTGGTAGCGAGGAGGTTCCCGCGTCGTCTTTGCGCAGTGCTTGGAGATCTTTCTCCATAGTTGATAGTCGCGAAAACAACTGCTCGAGTGCAGCTGTACCTATCGTGGTTGTCGCCTCATTTGTCGCAGCCGGGTTGGCTTGTCCTTCGGCCGTTAGATTAGTGTGCCGCTCGCCAGCTCTTAGTTCAGCGAATTTTACGGAAGTAGAGTTGCGAAGAATCCCTGAGTAGCTCTCATACCATGTTACAATCCTAAACAGGACTTAGCCAGGGATCGGCTCAGGGTTGATCGCAAGTAGTGTTGCAGCGGAAGTGGTGACCCCAGGTCAGAGTGAATGTGACTGAGATGATAAAGGCATGCATACATCGGGAGTATATAGGAAATACAAAAGAATGCGAAACGACATAGACTAGCCAAGCCATGTACTCTAAGGGGTACATTCCCTTATTGCAGCGAAGTTCAAACCGTGCGGCGCGGGAACCCGTTTCAAACCTCTTCCCGCTCTTTTCACTACAGATGTTTCTGCATGCATCGGTCTTGATCAGACGGTTGCTGGTGTCGCTTCGACTCTTCTGACTCCTCGACTTCGTACTCGGTAGAGTCGGCTCCTGCAGCATACAGGAATGCCTTCTCATTGAATTTCATATCGTAACACATACTAAACCCGAAGAACATTTACAGTGGTTATGATGGGACATGAGGGGGCACAAGGGCATCGATGTCAACGACGTCACTGAAGAAGACACCACGAGGTAGATCAGCCAGGGAGGGTGGCACCTTGTCAGGACTCAACCCCTCGCACCCCTCCAGCACAAACAGGCGCAGGCGCGTCAACGTGCCAATGGAGCTTGGGAGTGAGTGCAGGCTGAACGCCTCCGTGAGAACCAGACTGCGACAGGGCGCAGGCAGGTGAAAAAAAAGGGGATATGGGGAGGAGAGAAAACAAGGAAACAAGGGGGAAAAGAACGGGTGAGAGATGAAAGCAGAGAGGAAGAAGCAAAGATGTGAGGAGAGAAGGGACGAAGGAAAGTAGAGTCATGAGTAGTTATGCACCGGGATGAACCCTGCATTTGTACCAACCTGCTTGCAATCAAATGTGCAGCTATGCCAAACAGATATAGATTCATGGCAGCCCGCTACTGCCTTCAAATGTGTGAGCGTGTGAAGCGTGCGTGATTGGACATCCACTCCAGGGGTTGGGCATGCAGCTGGGTAGATGCAGCAAGGCCGATGGCATAGAATTGGCAGCTGTAGGCAGCACACTCAAGAGGTGCGCGCAGGCAGTTATCTTGCAGGAGCTATGCATGGCCCACTCACCGCTCTAGCTTGCGCCACTCACCGCTCTAGCTTGCGCCACTCACCGCTCTAGCTTTGACAGCTGTGGCAGCGATGGCGGCAGCGCGGAGAGGCTGTGGCAGGCCAGCAGGTCGAGCACCCGCAGGGAGGGAGCGAGGAGGTGCATGCAGGGCGGGAGGGCGAGGAGGGCGGGGCATGTGTGCAGGCGCAGGGAGACAAGGTGCGGGAGGAGAGTGAGTGAGGGAGGGAGGTGAGTGAGGGAGGTGAAGGCGGAGAGTGTGAGATGACGCAGGGAGGAGAGGGCGGCGATGGAGGCAGGGAAAGCGGCAGGGGGGGGGCTTGGAGTGAGTGGAGCGGATGGCGTGGTGTCATAGCCGTGAGTTGCAGGGAAGGCAGATGTGGGCGGAGAGGGCGGGGCGCCGTGCAGCACGAGAGAGGTGAGGCGAGTGAGGCTCGTGAGGGACGGCAGCAGCGCTGCCAGGAACACCGTCTGCTGCTCCCCTCCTCCCGCCACTCCCCCTCCTGCTCCCAGCCCGCATGGCACCTCCAGGTGCTCCAAGCTCCTCAGCCCGCTCCATGGCGACAGCTGCTCCCTCACTCTCCCCACTGCTTCGCTTATCGCCGCCTCGCCCTCCCGCCCTTCCTCCTCGCCCTCCCCTTTTGTCTCCTCGCCCTCCCCCTCAGCCCTGTTGCCCGCGCACCACTGGCAGGAGCGAACAGTGAGAGCAGTGAGTGCGGCACAGTGCAGCCCGCCAGGCGGGGAGAGAAGGAACGGCGGCAGCGGTGTGGCGCGAGAAGCCCGCGGCCCCTCTCCGCCAAGAGACCCGTGTGACGCCTGCACAGCCTGCACACCCTCGCTGCCCTCCCCCTCGCCCTGCCCACCCCATCCCTGTGGTGGTGCCTCCGCCCCCACGTGGTGCAAGGTGGGCGTCCCCGCCCCCACGTGGTCCAGCAGCAGGTGTGTGAGGTGCGAGGCGCGGGCGAGCGAGAGAGGCAGCGCGGTGAGGGCGGGCAGGCAGGCGAGATGCAGTGAGGCGAGCGAGGGGAGCAGGCCGATGCGATGGGGCAGTGCGGAGAGGCGCGGGAGGGACGAGACGTGGAGGTGCGAGAGGAGAGGGAGGGAGCAGAGGGAGGAAGGGAGGTGGGAGAGAGAGGGGAGGGTGGAGAGGAAGAGGTGGCGAAGGCTGGTGAGGCGAGAGAGGGAGTCGGGGCACGAGGAGAGGAGGGGCAGGTGGGAGAGCGCGAGGGTGTGGAGGTAGGAGAGAGAGGGGAGGGAGGACGGGAGGGAGGAGAGGGGAGGGAGAGAGGAGGCGTCCGAAGGCAGAGGCGGATGGGAGGGGGGTTGGAGGAGAGGCAGGCGACGGGGAGGAGCGGAAGGAGGGGGGGGAGGCCAGGAGAGATCCAGTGCAGTGGCATCTTGGTGCGGCATGGCGCTGTGGCTGGGGCGCATGGTGCCCCTGGCAGGGCCACGGGCAGCAGCAGCAGCAAGACAGTGCACTTGTGAGAGCCACTGCTCCACGTGCTGCTCTCCGCCCTGCATGTCTGTGCCCTCCCCTCGCACTCCCATGCCAACCATGCCAGCGCCCTCCACTCTCCCGCCCAGCACGAGCCGGTCAAGGCGAGAGAGGCCGGCCAATGCGCGTGGTGGGAGAGGGGCGAGGCGCGGGCAGGCGAGGAGCGTGAGGGCACGCAGGGAGACAAAGAGGGAGAGGGAGGCGGGCAGGGAGGCGAGGAGGTCACTGGAGACGACTGAGAGGGAGCGCAGCGAGGGGAGCAGCGGGCGCAATGGGGGAGGGTGCGTGGCGGAGGGGAGGGGGAGGAGCGCGATGGGTGTGTCGCGGAGGGAGAGGGAGGCGAGGCGGGGAAGGAAGGCCATTGATTCGGGCAGCTCGACCAGCCGGTCGCAGCCAGTCACGGTGAGACACGTCAGCTGGGACAGCTGCCCGAGAGTACCGGGCAGAGATGAAAGCAGCGGCATGTCGGCGAGGGATAGGGAAACGAGAGAAGACAACTGGCCGAGGGAGGCGGGGAGGGCGGAGAGGGCAGGGCAGGAGAGGGAGAGGGAGGTGAGGGAGGAGAGAGAGGAGAGCGAGGCAGGGAGGGCTGTGAGTTTGCGGCAGTGCATGAGCGTGAGATCGGCCAGGCGTGTGAGGTGCCCCAGTGACTCGGGCAGCAGCGACAGCTCCCCCAGGGACGACAGGCGCAGGGACTGCAGGGCGAGCAGGCCACCAATGGAGTGTGGTAACCACGCCAGGGCGAAGTTGTTGGCGATGGTGAGGTGGGAGAGGCGCGTCAGCCCGCCCGTCGACTCGGGCAGCTCGCACAGCTCAAAGCAGTCTGCCAGACGCAGCTCCAGCAGATTCTCGAGTTGCCCGAGATTCTCGGGCAGGCGTTGGAAGGAACCAGAGAGATGCAGGCGGTGCAGATTGGAGAGACGGGCCACGGCGGAGGGGAGGGAGTGGAGGGCGGACGCGCAGAGGTGGAGGGATTTTAGGGAGACTAGGTTGCTGACGTCATCGGGAAGGGAGGAGAGGGACGGGAGGGACAGGTGCAGGGAGGTTAGGCGGGCGAGTCGGCATACGGCGGGCGGCAGCAGCGGCAGTGACGCGGCGTGCAGCAGCAGCTCGCGCAGCCGCGGCAGCGCGCTCACTGCTGCGCTGACGGCCTCCGCGCTCACGGGGGAATGCTCCGGGCGGACGCGGAGGGCGGAGAGGCGCGGGCACGCGGCGGGCAATGCGCGGAGGAGAGCATCGGTCAGTGGCAGCACGCTGCGCGGGGGAAGGTCGAGCGAGGTGAGGTGGGGGAAGCGCGAGAGGGAGAGGAGAAGCGACTGTAGCGGGAGTTGGAGGAAATCTCTAACGCGTACGGTGGTCAGCGCGTGGCAGGCGAGGCGGTGCCATCGCTTGCACACGAGCGCGTGGGTGAATGCGACGCAGTGACCGGCGCACATGTGGCCATCATCGTCGCCATCGCCGCAATCGTCGCTGTCGTCGCCATGGCTACCATTGGCGGCGTTACTATCTCGGCCCTCGGCAGCGAGGAGACGGAAGACTCGGAGAAGGAGGTGGTCGGGCAGGCGGGAAAAGGGCGAGCCATGGGAGTCGTGGCAGGGGAGGAGGGCGGGGGGGCGACGGGAGGGCGGTGACGCGGGAGGGGTGGAAGTCGCCATGCGCGAGGAGACGCCGTCGCGACAGGCGAGGTGGGAGAGTTGTTGGCGAGAGAGACTAGGTGCGCGGAATGGGGCTCAAGCGGATGGCATTCCGCGCGAGACAAAAATCAAGCTGGATCTGGCAAAACGTTGCGGGGATTTCAGCCCAGGTCTTTCAGGTAAGGGCGGGTTGTTTCCATTTCATAGGACTTTGCTCAATACCCACCCATCTCGACCAATCTGAGGACGCGTCAACTCCGGCTAATTTCGGCGATCGATCCAGCGCAGGGTCGAATTTTGAAGGGCCTAGAAGACGTTCTAATACGTTTTGGATGCAATTGCGGGGTTTCAGTGCGGTGGCGGATCGATATTGCAAGATCTATGTCCGATTTTAGCAGGAGTTGAGGCGTCCTGAGGATTGAATCTACTCTCATTGGGCCGTATTGAAACTAACTAAAAGGACATGCCCTAACCACTTTATTTACAATGTCGTAGGGTTTTAGCTTAGTTGCAAGCGGCGAGTGTTTCTGTGCTGTGCGGCTGTGCCGTATATGCATCTCATTTAACCATGAATGGGGGGCAAGAAGGCCCTGACACACCAGTCTACACAACGGGGGCACACCTCTGAGCCCCTCTTGTTTGACTTGTCGCCACCCACCCCCTCTCTAACACGCCCTCCTTCCATGTCCTTCCCCTGTGCTGCTGCCATCTCGTGCCCCTCCCTTACCGGACCCAAGCAGCTGCGTGCATTGGAAGGGACGGAGAGAGTGCCTGGTGCCGCAGTGGCAGCACGGCAGGTGGGCATGGAGGGAGTTGGCGAGGGGGGAGTGACGCTGCTGGTGCACGGGTGGCAGGGCGAGGGGCGCTGGCAGGTGCTGGTGGCACGGATACAGAGAGAGGACAGCGAGGGAGGTGGTGCGAGGGGCGGCGGTGGAGAGGCGGCAAGGGCCATGCGGTCCCAGAAGAGGTGCGTGGCGGCGCGCGCCACGTGCTTGAACTGCTCGCGGCCTGCTGGGCGCACACACGGAGTGGTGGAGGGGTTCACGGCACAAGGAAAGAAGCTCATGGGGTGAAAGGTGCTTGAAATCCCACGGGGCAGCACACAAGAGCGCAGTGCACACAATGGACCCACCACTCCACATCTTAAGTGCTGGACGACCACTTGACGCGTAAAACGGAATTCTGTACTCTCGTAGTCATTTGCCAATGCCACCTGCCCTCATTTCTTACTTATCGTTTTGTTTGTATAGAGGGGATGCAGATATCGCTTTACTGCACGCACCACTGCCTCCCTCTCCTCCCTTGCCCCCTCGCTGCTCCTGCTCCCCGTGCCCCTCTCTGGTTTCACCTCCCCACCGCCCCTCCCACCTCCACCACCCTTGCTCTCGCCACTCCCACTCGTTTCATTCTTTCCTCCCTTTGTCGCGCCTTTCAACGCACCCCCGCCATTGCCACAGCCTGCTTGCCCCAGCGGCACCAAGCTGCTGCTGCCTCCATCCCTGTTCCCACTTGCCCTGCCACTCCGAACGCCATACTCCTCCCCACCTCTCGCCCACGCGCTTCTTTTCACCTCGGCACTACCAGCAGCCTCTTCAGCCTTGGCTGGCCTTGGTCCTTGCGCCACCTTGCCCCCCGACCCACCATATTCAGCCGCATCATCACCATCACAACACTCCACTTTCGCACCTCTCCACTCGCCCCCTCCCTGTGCCACCTTCTCCCCATTGCTCAGCATCCCACACCCACTCTCGCCTTCCTCACCCCCATTCTCAGCCTTTACAATCACGGCAGTGCTGCCCACCTCCCTGGCCTGCTCACTCGCATCTTGCACAACGCCCCGCCACTCGCCCTCCGTCCCTTCCTGTTCCCTGCCACCCCCTCGCCTCTCCCGCACTCGTCGGAGCCCCCAGACGCCCACCAGCCCCGCGCCTCCATGCGCCTCATCTGCACTGTGCTGCCGCGGCTCCACCTGCTCCCCGCACAGCGCGTCACTGCCATTCACGTGCAGGGCTCTCCTCTCACAAGCCGCAGCACATGGCATCGTTGCGGGGCGCGCAGGGCGAAGCGGGGCGGGCGGGAGCGAGGGCACAGAAGGGGTGGAAAGGGAGGAGAGGGAGGGCATGGCAGGTAGTGAGGAGGACGTGACAGGTGCTGCTGTTGACATGCAGGGCGCCACTGCTGCTGCTGACGATGATGGCACTGCAGGCATCATTGCCGATGGTGCTGCTGCCTGCTTGGCCGCCAGGGCACGGGAGGCAGCGAGCAGGGCAGATGACACAAGGCTGCTGCCTGCTGATGCTGCTGATGTTGAGGCACATAGTGATGCCGTGGATGTGCCATCCCTCGCACTCCTGCTGCCACTGCTGCCACGTACCAGCGCCCCACCACGTAACGGTACTAATGCAGCGGGCGCCCTCCCTGCCATAGCGCCCCTCACACCTCTCGCTCCACCACCCACCAACCCTGCCCCTCTGCCTCCCTCTACCACCACAGCACCTCCTCTGCTGACGCTGCCAGCAGCAGCAGCAGCAGCAGCCCTGCCAGCCCCGCCAGTGCCCAGGGCAGCAGCAGCCATGCGCGCCCTCTCAAACTGCCGCCACGCCCTCTCATCCTCCTCCGCACCGCTCGCCCTCCCACCCACCGCCCTTGCACTCCCCACTCCACCCCCGCTGTGCGTGCTGCCCAGCAAGCCAGCACGGCGCGCAGCAGGCGGGCATGGCAGGGTGGGGCTCACAATGTCGTGGATGGATGGGGGGGATGCACGCATGGGAGCGCCGGCCGCACCACCACCAGCAGCACCAGCAACAGGAACACCGGTGGCAGCAGCAGCAAGCCCACCATAGCTGCCAGTGCTGCTGCTGGCCTGCTGACTCCCCACCCCCGCTGCCCTTCCTACCGCCCACCGGCTGTTGCTCCTCAGCTGCGCCAGCTGCTGCCTCTGCCTCGCCGCCACACCTGCTGCCAGCACACGCAGGGCACTTGACGTGAACGCACCCGCCCTGCCCGAAACACTGCCACCGCCGCCCCTCCTGCTGCCCGCCACTGTCCTCGCCTTCCTCCTCACTCTCCTCCTCCTCACCTTCACCCTCCGCTTCCTGCCCCTGCCCACCCCCCCGCCACCTGTGCCTGCTGTCGCTGCTGTCCTGCGCCGCTTCACCCGCCTGCCCCCGCTCCGCCCTGCCTTGCGCTTCCTGCTGCTCGCTGCTGCCCCACTGCCCACCGCAGCTGCAGGGGCGGGGCGGGGAGGCGCAGCAGCAGCGGCAGCGGCGGTGGAGGAGGGGGTGTAGCTGCCAGTGCATATGCGCGCTGCTATGCTCTCGTCCTCACTGCCCCCCACACTGCTGCTGCTGCCACCATCGGCACCGCCATCACCCTCAGCATCACCCTCAGCGTCCCCTTCCCTCTCGCTCTCACTCCACTCCCCCTCACACTCATCCTCATCATCCTCATACTCGCCATCCCCATCCTCCACATCCTCGTCGTCCTCCCACCCACTGTCGTCATCGCTCTCTGCCAGCACAAAGCTTCCCACTCCTCCTCCCACGCCCAACCCCATCCCCCCACCTCGCTCCCTGCTCAACCCCCTTCCTCCCCTCCCTGGCATCGCGGCCCCCTCTGCCCCCTGCGCGCCCTGCTGCGCGTCGCCCCCGAGCATGCGGGCGACAGCGGAGACGCAGGGGGGGCAGAGCCAGTCGCCGCGGGGCACGGAGGAGCCCAGCCCCACGCAGTACGTGTGCGCCGCCCCGTCACAGCGGTCGCACAGCAGCAACACCCGCTCGTCGCCGCTGCTGCCACACTCCATGCACCCCGCATCGCTGTACGGCTCCGCTGGTCCTGCTGCTGCCGCTGCCAGGTCAGCTGATGCCAGCTCGGATGCCAGCTCAGCATCGGCTTCAGTGTCCACTGTTTTCGACTGGGGGAAAACGGAGCGGGAGGGAGCAAAGGCAAAAGCGGGAAGACCGACAGCTTTGGACCGTTGTATTGCGGGTTAGCCACGAGATATTACACTTGGTTGGAGGCTCCTCAAAGCAAATGCACGACCATGTGTTGGGGATGGTGGGGGCATGGACAGCAACAATCTGGGGCACAACCACTGTGCTCTTTTCTTCCCCACACACACACCACCGCATGCCATTCCCTCCTCTTCCCCCCCCCCCTCGCCCCCCTCACCTGGTCCCTCAGCGGCACTCGAATCGTGACTGCCCTGGCCGACCGCCGTCTGCCGCCCGCCCCGCCCTCGCCCTCCTCGCCCGCCTGCCCCTCCCTCTCGCTACTCTCCCCGCCACTGCCCGCCCCGCCCGCAGCACGGCCGTGCGAGGGTGGCGCGAGGCGGCGGATGCGAGTGAAGCGGCGCTTGCAGAGCGGACAGCGCGACTCCACCTGGGGGCCGGTTGGGGAAGGGGGTAGGAGGTGGGGAGGGGTTGGGAGGAAGGGGGAGATGGGGAGGGAGAGGCGGGTGTTTCTTGAGAGGCGAAGGCGTTGAAGTAGAAGCGGGTCGCCGTGTGAACGCCAGGTCGACGTCGACGAGGGCGGGCGGCTTGAGAGGGCACGCGCAGGGCAGGCGGAGGAAACACGCGGAGAGCGCTGGACGAGGGGCTGGCGGATGGGCGGTGGAAGGTGGGCGACGCGCGGAGCGATGAGACGAGCGGCGGAGACGCGGGTGGCGCGAGGCCATGCGCGGACGCGAGCGGGACACGAAAGGGTCGGCGCGATGGCGGGTGGGGTGGCGCGGGGGGTTGGGTACCTGCGACCACTTGAGGATGCAGGGGAAGCAGAAGAGGTGGTCGCAGCAGTCCAGCGCGCCCTGCTGTAGCGCGCGCGCCCCCACGTCGTCCAGGCAGATCCCGCACCACCTCTCGCCCTCGCCGCCGACATCGCTCTCAAACCTCGCCTCACCCCCGCGCGACCGCTCGCCGCCATCGCAGCCCGCCGCGGCGCCCATGCGCTGCTCCCAATCTGCCTCGCCTCCCTCGCTGCCGCACGGCCGTGCCAGCAGAGACGGCTGCATGGGCGAGGCGGGCGGCGCAAGTTGCTCGGATTCGAAGCAACCTGACACCGGCACCTCCGCGTTCCGAAGCTACTATTCCGTGGGTGCGCTTGCCTCTAATTCTGATTGGTGCTTGATGAGTAGTCCTATGGAGCAAAGGGGATGCGGCCAGAGCCTCGGGACTGGATCCTGGAAATGCACAACTGTCGGTGCAGTGCGGTGCTGTGGTACACGACCAGGATCTGGGTGGACCTTCGACCTGCCGTGGGCTGTGAGCCACGTCGCCTCGCCATCTGACCATCCAACTCCTGCAAGATGAGGACTCACTACAAACGCGCGGGAAGCCTGACAAGATGTATTCAGCTACACCATCAACCCCTTGCTATTAGCTGTTTCGGTTATCACGTGATTGAGTTGGGAGGTTCAATTGTTAAAGATCTGAGAGTTCCGTAATAATTGCAAAGATATACAAGCAACTATTGTGATAGCTCAAGAACCGTGGGATAAGAATAAGACCTTTTCTGGGCTGAGTGAAGCCCTAGGATCCCTGTCGAGACTAGACTTACCGTACTGAAATATTGCAGCGGAAGTAGGAAATTCTTGTACTATTGATAATGAGAACAAGAATTGATAATTGTCAAACTATATACATGCTGTTGTCTAGGCTGTAGTGGGGTAGCTCATAGAAGGTACAACCCATTAGGGTTAGTACCTCTCCATTTCTGTTGGTCAATCATTCCGATGTACTCTCTATCTTAACGTGGTATCATGCGCTAGCAGGCCCTCAGTAATAAGCGTAAAAGATGCTGATTTTGTAGCTGTGATTTTCGTTTTCCCTGAAAATTCAGCATCTTCTTCAATTGTGCACTGAAATTTCAGTATAAACTACCTGGCCACACCGACCATTTTGCGTGTTGTTGTATAAGTAACACGGACGAATCAATGTAGTGTCGTGAGTCATACTGAAACGGACTTGACTGAGGGGGAGGAAGAAGGAGGGTGGGGGGGTGGGGGGGGGGGGGGGAGGATAGGGTACGCATGTACAGTCTGTACCTTCCCGTGATTCACGAAACCCCACCCACACACTTGGATTTTTTTTCCCATGCGATGTACAGATAGCTGGTGCGCGTCGAAGTGTTTTGACTCGCTGGAACCTATTACAGCGACACAGCCTCACACCTTGTTACGACTGTACAATAAGAAGACAGACAGCACACCACTGGAGGGACGGTTCACGTCACCACGCGGCAAAGGATGGCAGTGGGGTGCGGGTCTTGTCATCTTGCCAGGAAAGACGGCCAGGGTGAGAGTGGGGTGGACCAAGATGCCTCTCCAGGGCGGCGCGGGAGAGGGGTACCCCCATCTGGTCCCTCATTCTGCTCCTTCCTGCACTCAACGTTTTCCCCTGCAGGAAGGGACGTTCCCTCGCTATCTCTCTTCGCACGCAGCAGTACCATCCCTCTCAAGCTCGGCACGCTCGGCCGGGCTGAGCGGCCATGGCGGACCCGTTGCCTGCAGTCGATGGCCCTAACTCCAACGCATCCAACAGGCCTCAAGCCCTCACTGGCCTCGATTTCTTACGTGGACATGCAGCCGCTCCCTCGTTAGTCTCGCCCTCAGTACCCTCAGTAGTACTCCCTTCCTCGGGCGTCGAGGCACCTACGATATGGACGCAGGGCGAGTTTGCAAAGGTGAAGGGGTGACCGATGTGCAGACCCAAGCTATAAGGAAGCACCATCGCACAAGGAAGCACCATCGCGCTTTGCGCAGACAGAAGACGGCCGCGGCAGCGCTCAAGGCAAACCGCGGGGTCGATGACAACCCGAAGGTGAAAGACCTTGAGAAGAAGAAACGCCATGCTCTTCATCGCCAAGTCGGACGCCCCCATCGAGATGTGGGTGGATCTCGCTCGACATCTTGCGCAGCGGGGCACCCCGGGCTTCCCAAAGAATGGATACGGTGCATATTACACGACGTGAGTAATATAGCTTTACTTGATATCGGTCCAATGCTTAAAACTATTTGATGTATTGACTAACCGCATCTTTGTCACCCGTGCAGGTACGGTTTCGAAGAGCTTACCGCCGCTACATCGACTTACCTTCGTGCGCGCCAGAGAGAGTACATTGACTCAAGTCCGTTCATTGGTCTGAGCTGCGACGAGAGCACAGGCCGCGTTAGAGGGAAGCACATGATAGGTTTCGTAACATTTCTTCGTGAACATGCAGTCGTTACTGCGTTTCTAGCCAACCATCCATTGTGAAGTGTGATGCAGCATCACTTCATGCAGTGCTCAAAGGATTTCTGGACAGTATCAGCCTTCCGTTGGAGAAGGTGGCAAGAATCAGCACCGATGGGGCTCCGGTGATGATTGGCAATGACACTGGCCTCGTTGGGCGTCTTCGACTGCAGATTCCTCATGTGGTGGCCAGTCACTACATCGCGTACATGTACGCTCATTTGTTTATCGTTGTTGTTTGATCTGTGTAAGCGTTGACACTAACGCACCGACTGTGCTGTTTTCCCCTTGGCAGAGAGGCGCTAGCAGCAAAGGATGCTGCTAGGGCACTACCAGAGCTCGGCATGATCGACGCTGTCATCCGCTCTATGGCGAAAGATCTTGGCAGGTCGAACAACTCCTACCTAAAATTCAAGGAGCTGCAGGAGATATTTACGCAGACAAACTTAGAGGTCCAGGGGATACACGCCATCCGCTGGTTGAGCCGAGGGGAGGCTATCGCACGAATCGTCCGGGTTCTGCCTGCTGTCATCGTTCTCCTCGAGCTGACGGATGACACGATGTACCGCCTGGTGACATCTTTCAAATTTCACTTCTTCCTGTACTTCCTGGCAGATGTGCACACGGCACTCAACGCGCTTAACCTGCTATTCCAGAGACGCGAGGTGAGGGGTTGTGCTAAGTGGTGATGATTCAAGACCCGTACCTTGTACTAATTTGTTCTTTAAACGTACCCTTTCCCTCCCGCCCAACAGGTTGACCTCACTGGAGTTAATTCCAAAGTGAGGCGGACCATCATCTACATCGAGCAGAGGTACATCTTTTGTGGCCAACAGTTCGGCGGTGGGACCGGCGAGATGCTGTCGGCATTCCTCGCGCGGCACGCCTCGCCTGAATGCCGTGAAGTGACTGTGGAGGGGGTGGACAGGGACGGTCTGCCCCGTATATCGCGTTCACCTCGTAAGACGAGGACTCTGTGCCAGGATACACCACCAGGGGGACATGCAAGGATGTTACACGTGCTGCCGCTCATTCGCCCGCGAGCTTGTGAACAATTTGGAGTTGCGCTTGGGGGATCTGACGCGCTTTAACAGGGCGAAGCTCTTCATGCCCCGCTTGTGGCCGAGAGGCGTCGAGGCGAGAGATGCCGAGTGCAAGGAGCGCCTGCATGGCCTTATCCATCTCTTTCAGGCCAAGAACCGAGACACCATCTTACCTGGTGAGCAGTCCTCATCCCCGGATCTGCTCGTGTGCACGACGCTGTCCCGCTCCTTGTGTGCTTGCTTGACTATCTTCCCGTTTGTGTTTGTGTGACGGTAATGTGCAGGTGTCCAGAAGCGTGCGGAACTGCGCACGTTGTTGCCGGTGCTCTCCTCTGCTCCCAAGGAGGAGCAGCCGTTTCATGCCGGTTTGAAAGCCATCTTGCAAACCAGCGACTGGCAGAGCAGCTACCCCAACCTAGTCCGTCTGTGGGCTGCGGTGGCTGTTCTGCCAATCAGCACAGTCGAGTGTGAACACGTGTTTTCTCGCCAGATTGTCATCAAGTCGTGGCGCCGGACGAGCCTCTGCAATGCCAAGCTGGGAGACCTGTTGACGTTGAGCCTGCTCGAGTACGCTATGGAGTGGGAGAAGGTGGTGGAGATCTGGAAGAGCACCAAGAAAAGGCAGCCCAGCAAGCGCAAGGAGCAAGTAGCGCCAGAGAGAGAACGAGCAAAATGTGTTAAGGGGAGTGGCCGCTGGGTGGTGCAGGAGGTGGAGCTAGAGGAGAGCACGCATGGATCTGCTGGAGATGAGAGTGATGATGACGCTGTCAGTAGTGGAGAGGAGGAGGAGAGTGATGATGATGATGTTGATGATTTGTTTGTTTTCTGTTTTTATTATGCGGAAAATTACACTAAAGGAATAATGTACAAAAGCATCAGGCAGTCGTAACTGTATCTGGAGGGAAGCGCCACAGTACCGTGTAACGCAGATTCCCTATAGCGAGCCTACGGTGGCTGGTGAGTCATCGGATTGTTCCAGATGGAGCTAAAGCTGCTCTTCCACGTCAGCGGTGCCCCCTTGTTGCATATCCACCCCATCACAACCGCATGCGCGATAAACTTAACCACCGCCAGGCGTATCACCTTCGGCTGGAACTTGATGTCCCGACGACTTGCATCACACCTTGCCAGCCACACCTGGTGCAGTGTGGTGGCAATAAAGGAGCTTTCCGGAAAACTGGACTTCGTGCTTCTCTGCATGAAGAGGAGGTCCTCCGAACCCTGCCAGTTCAGCTGCGGATTCATTTCAGCCAGTCCTTTCCGCAAAAACCGCACCACCTTTTGAATCGCCGGGCAGCCGAGCAGGCAATGCTCCGGTGTCTCCTCTACTTTGCAATGTGGACAAACTACTTTATCCTTCAGAAAGAAGAGCCGCTCCCCCACTTGCAGATTCCTGCAGTGCAGCCTCAGCTGGATTTCTCGCGCCCGGGCAGGGGTGGCAAGGGAATCTCTTCCCATTCGATAACCCTTCCGTCCCCAATCCACCTCCGCTGCTCCTTCACAGTGCCTGCCGAGCTAACCAGCGCCTTCCTAATCTCTTTCAGCGGCATCACCTCCCCGTCCTTGCTTAGCTTGGACTGCAGGAACTTTGTCCGCGCCTTACCCATTAGCCCCAGCGCCTTATCGCCTTGAGCCGCTACCGGTTCCCCGCTGTGCATCCCGAAGTTGACCCGGTATCTCCCGTCGCAGACTGTGAAGGTTCCGTCGGCGCCTTCCCGACACATCACCCCCGTCACTCTACCGCCGTCAGTGCCGCTGATTTTCCAGAGTGTAGGACATGCGGAGATGTTTCTCTGGTACCGCAGCAGAGGAACTTTAGCCGCCACCTCCTCGCTTGTCAAGGTTTCCAGCAGCATATCTCTCCACCCGGCCGGCGCCGTCGCAAAAGCCTTCAGCGCCAACTTCGCCGCATCCACGCTGCCGAGCTCGCTCGCCAGAGTTTTCTCGTCCTTCAGCCCCCGCGTGCCATCCGCCCGACGCCAGATCAGGTCGCCCATCGTCAATCCCAGTAACCGTTCCGAGCCCTTCTAGTTCGCGAAGGGGCTAGCTCCCCGGAAAGGTATGCGTCGATTAAACGCCAACTGCTCCCGCTCCGCCTCCCAACGATTCCCTGGCTCGGGGGTGACGCAAAAAGGGGATTTCCAGAACGCCTGCGTCATGTCCTTCCATCGTTTACTGCCCTCCTTCCAGTGCTTTACAGGGACTGATGGGCGTAAATCGTGTCCGGGCCCAGAGGCATCGTTGCCGCCTGCTCCGTCAGCCACTTCTTCACCGGATTCGCCTGCAGCATCATGCGGCCGACATTTTGCACCTCTATGCTGTCAAACCGCTTCTTGGGGCAGATCATCCCCAGCCCTCCCTCCTCCCTGGGTGTGCAGATCAACTCGTAGTTCCAGATGATGAAGGCCTTCTCCTCCGTCGCCTCTCCTCCAGACACGAAGTTGTGGCATATCCTCTTGATTTTCGTCCATATCTCCTCCGGCGGCGGGTATATGTATGCTTGAAACATGAAAATGGGCGAGATGTAGCCGTTGATTATCGCGACCCTCGCCGACGTTGTTAGGTGCTGAATCTCCCATTTGGCTAATTCCTTGCGTGCCTTGTCCAACGCCTTTTCACAGGACGGGAGCGGGTCGCCGTTCGGAGTGATCCAGACACCCAACAACCTCTCCGGTGCATCCTTGTCAGCCCACTTGTACTGCAGGCCCGCCGGCGGAGGCTTCCCTCTGTTCTTCCCGAGTGGAAAGACCACCGTCTTATCCTTGTTCACCTTCAGCCCTGATGCCTTCCCGAAGTTTTCCAGCGCCTCAGCCGCGGCAGCCAGCTGCTCTTCCCCTTGCAGCAGGAGTGACGTGTCGTCGGCGTACCCCAGATACGCCAGCCTTCCTGTGTCTCCGCCGCCGATGCCCAGCCTCCGCTGCGCGAACTCCTGGCAGAGCGTCTCCACCGCACACAAGAAGGGGTACGGCGCCAACGAGCAGCCTTCTCGCACCCCTTTTTCCACTGCAACTCTGTCGCCTGTCCATCCGTTGATGTGTAACCGTGTTCCTGCCCCTGTGTGCAGGCCTTCCGCCCAAGACACAAACTGCTCCGGAACCCCCATCCCTCGTGGCGTACGGAAAAGGAAAGGCCTCGAGATGGAGTCGAAGGCCTTCTGAAAGTCGACCATTAGGAGGAACCAGTCCTTCCTGCCGCTGGCCCCCGCCTCAATAGCATTCGCTACCACCGCAACAGCATCCGCCAGTTTCCGACCAGGTAAAAACCCCGCCTGATCCTCCGAAATCACCTCATGCATAACCTTTTTAAACCTTGTCGCCATAACTTTCGCTAACACCTTGTAGACCGTGCTTAGCAGCGTGATTGGCCAGTAATTTCCTAACTCCTCCTTGCTCCCCTTCTTATGCAGCAGGATCGTGACCGCGGTCGAGATGTCACGGAGAAGCACCGCCGTTCGCGTGAAGTCACCGACGAACTGCATCAGAACTGGGCCAAGCAAGTCCCAGTTGTGTTCGAACAACTCCTTGGGAAGGCCGTCCTGACCAGGTGACTTTCCTGGAGCTAGCTCGCGCACCGCTGTCCGAAATTCCTCCTCCGACCATGGCGTGCTGAGGGCGCTACGGCTGGCGTCACACAACGTCCGGCGCATAATCCTCGGTTCCGTCTCGTGAGGGCCCGTCTCCCCGCCGCTGCCGAAGGAATCTCTGAAAAACTCTGTCGCCGCCGCGAGCACCCCTCTTGCACCCGAGTGAGTGCTACCCTTGAATTGAACAGCTTTCATCTCCTTCTTGGCCGCACTTTTATCTTCCCGGATAGAAAGCCGGTTGTCGTCTCCCCGTCCAGCTCCGCCTTCACCCCGAGCCACTCTTGCAACTTCTCTTGGTGGCTTTTTTCATACGCTTCAAGTAACTCCTCTTTTTTAAGCAGGATTGCTCCCGTCCGCTGACAGTTTGGGTTATGCGACAGCCGTTGCCGGAAGACCCTCACCTCCTTCTCCAGGTGTCTTTTGGTCGCCCCGACTCTCTTTCTTTCCTCCCGTGTGTACGCCCACAGGCACGCCGTCAACCCGGGCAACAGCACACCAAGGTCTCCGCCCGCGTCCTTGAGCACTTGCTCCACCCGATTCTTGACCCCTCTCTTTTTCGCCAGTGCAGCACTTAAACGCCAGATGCCGGGCCCCCTGTCGATCGCCGCCGACGACTCCAGCGCAACCATCACCGCGTTCCAGTGATGTGTCATTTTGTTCGTTATGTCTGCATGTCGCACCTCCACCAGCTTGCACAGCAGCGGCTGCGACACCAGCGCGGGATCGATCCTGGTGCTCACCCCCTTTGCTCTCATATGAAAAGTGTAGTCCCCTTTTCCAGGATGCATAAAGCGGAAGGCGTCAGTAAGCGGGGTGTTCGCCCAGTAGCCCAACAGCCTCCAGTTCTCCGCCGACGACCCCACTCCTGTTGACTTGTCCAGCGCCGGATCCTCCTCTACGTTCATGTCGCCCATCACCAGGACATTCGGCAGCTTCGGTAAGGTGCTCAGGAAAGGCTCCATGCAGTCCCTGTAAAAGGGGGCCCTGTTCTCCGGTTGCGCCGGTAAGTACATCGCAATCAGGAGCAGCTCTAGGTCACCCCAACGGATCACCACCCCCGCCAGCCTTCCTGATATATGTGTGTACGTGCCCGTGAAGTTCATCCCAGGCACAAAGCTCAGCACCGCTACTCCTCCTACCGACCCAGCTGGCCCCACGGCCAACACCGCAGACGGCTTCATTTGAGTCCAGAAATTGTGGTCTGCCTGAATACGCGTGTCTGTGAGTATTGCAACGTCCGCCTTGTTCCTTAGCCAGTCTTTGCATTTGGTCTGCTTCCCTGCACTGCCGAGCCCGTTGATGTTAAAGCCCAAGATCCGAATAAAAAAAAACGAAGGCAAACTGTGCACAGTTTGCCTCCCGCAACCCACAGTTTTGCCCCGCGTTGACTTGCGTTGAGCAATTCAGGTCTTGGGCTTTAAGCTCGCAGAAATTGACTGAATTCCTCTTTCATTTAAAAAACTGGTGAGAAGCCCCTTCGCATCCACGGGCTGAGGACTGGTACAAGACTCCTGACACACGTGCGCCGTTGTCACCGGCCGCACCATACATCCGCACAGCATGAGGACTACCGCTACTGCTACGACTGCCGTAACAAATATGGGTCTGCCATCCTTCCCCCCTCTGTACTCCAGCAGATGTGCAACTCCGGAGCAACACACACCACTCGCCCGTCCAGGTGACTACTTGGTGAAGTCCTTCCGAAACGTGGCCAAGTTGATTGCTCCCTTGCTGGCACGAGTAGCAGCTCCCGGCTTCGCCAGATTGGTCTTGTGACGGAGCGACGCAACGTGCGCCGACGCTTGTTCGAAGCTGGCACCCTGCGCCTTGTCGCAGGTTGCAACCACACACCCAGTCCTCCCGCGACCCTGTGGAGGTGAGTACAATGGCTGGGTCCTTGAGGATATCTTTCGTAAGCGCTGTAACTTTGAGCGATGCAGCTGCGGGGAGGGATTGGAGCCGGGAAGTCAGTAAAAGCCGGGGAAAACAGCAGGAGCGGTAAAGGTAAGAAAAGCAACACACGGATACCGTTTATCTCATGGGCCTTCCTGACGGTCAGGGTCCATTTGCCGATGCTGGGTTGACGCTCCGTGACGTAGGCGTTATGATACTGTGTCATGTGCTGACCCTTGCAGTAATCGCAGGTAAGGGCAGGATAGTGTACCAACAGCTTCCTCCCAGGGCTCGACAGGTCCGTAACCGCATGACGCCACAGATCCTCATCGTTTTCGTGCTCGATCACCAATCCCCGCACCTTATCAGTGTCCATCCCAGTAACTGGATCATGCACTCTGTGAAAGCCCACACCCTTGGCAAAAGCAGCCTTCCCTTTTTTCAGCAGCGTAACCTCCGTCAGCATCTTGCGGATCAGATCAGGAGAGACGCCAGCTGGGACCGACTTCAACAAAACCTCCACTGCATCCGGGTTCAGCTGACGCTCGCACCTGTAAGTCGCATTCTCCGGGTGCTGCCAGTCAAGCGTCAAAGACACACCTTTCCCCAGCTCGTGCTCGATCGACCGCATCCAGACAAAGGCAGCGTCACTCGCGTGCTGGAAGGTAACCTGAAGCCTGCCGAACCTCTTCTTCGACAACCATGCCGGCATCAGTTCCTGGTACTTCGTGGTCGTCCGAGCATCAGCCGTAAGCGAGGCATTCCAGAAGTCCAGGTGAGCAACAACCGTAGCCTTCAGCTTTGGGACCTCGCTCTCCCACTTGATGGGAATGAGGAGCGTGATCGGGAAACTGACTTGAGTGGTGAGAAGATGAACCGCGGCCGGATCGAAATCGTCGTCGTCGTCACTGTCCCAGCACTCATCGTCATCTGCATACTTGCTGCAACCCGCTGTCACACCCTCAGATACCTCAGCCGCACGATCTGGCAGACCAGCAGATGACGTGCTCGGCTGCGGATGCTTAGTCACATCACCTTCCTCCTCTCTGTCCTTAAGCCAGTTGACCTTCAGAGCAGATAAACGTTCTTGCAGGGAGACTTTCGCCGACTCGTCCAACATGCCAGTAGCCGACTTGGGAAGAGCTTGAGGCGAGGCTTGTGCTGAGACCACTGGACTTTTCTCAGGAGAAAGTTCTGTGCTTGTCAGAGGGGTGTTGTCAGCAGTGGTGCTAACCTTCCCTCCAAGCTTCCCCCCTCCCCGTCCGTTGCGTCGACCGACCGCCATTGTGCAATGATGAAAATAGAGGAACAGGCTGGTTAAGAAGCCTGATAAAAACGTTATGCCGAACACGAATATGCTTTGATGCTTGTCTGTGCCGTTGCATTTGTAGCTTGTTGAAACTGTTGCCTGATAGTTCAACTCAGCCGAGCATTGTAAGGAAACAATATCATGTCAAACATTACATATGTTTGTGTTCTCTAGGCTGTAGTGGGTTTAGCCTTAGGGGGTACAAACTCTAGGGTTTCATACTTGTACTCCCAACTTTCCTAATGCAATCACCTCACTCATTCTGACATGGTATTACGAGCCTAGGGTTAGGAACCTAGGACCGTCCTTAGGGCCCACCGTTTCCGCTCGAAGCGCCCTCGTGCGCCGTCCTTTCCTAGCGCCCTCGTGCGCCTCGCTCCTAGTGCGCCCTCGCGCGCCTCCTCTCCTCTTACGCTGCCCGTGCGCAGCCGCTAGCAACCCGCACGCGCGGCCCGTTTTCCTGTCGCGTAGCCCGCTAGCCGCCCGTGCGCGGCCCGTTTTCTGAGCGCGCGACCCCCTAGCTGCTCGCGCTGTCGTCGCCGCCCACGCGCAGCCCGCTAGCCGCCCGTCGACCGCCGCCGAGTCCCCTTAGGCCGCCGCCGCGAACCTAGTGCAGCCCGCTAGCCGCCCGTCGACCGCCGCCAGCACGAACGCAGCCGCGGCCCGCGCACAGCCGCACCTTAGGCGCCGCCGCGCACCGAGCATAGGCCCGCCGTCGCGCCGCCCTGCCTGCTCGAGTCACGCCGCTCGAGTCGCGCCGCCCGAGTCGCGCCGCCCGAGTCGCGCCGCCCTGACCGAGCCGCGCCGCCCCACCTGTAGCAACTACTGTTCCTGTTCCTGCTACAGCCACTACTGCTACTACTGCTACTACTACTACTACTACTGCTGCTACTGCTACTGCTGCTACTGCCACTATGGCTAGTCCTACCGTTCTCACCTTTGACTCTGAGGGCCGCCCGATTAAGTTTGACGTTTGGCTCGATGACCTGCACCTGTTCCTCCAGATCACTGCCAAGGACGATGTTTCTCTGTTTGACCACACGTCCGGCGTAGCTCTCGCACTTGCTGCTACCGCTGACAGTACAGCTCGCTCACAGTGGCAGACCCGTGACGCGCACGCTCGCCTAGCCGTTCGCAGCCACCTGCCGTTAGATGAGCGCGAGCACTTTGGCCAGCATAAGACCGCCAAGGAACTGTACGATGCAGTCATTGCGCGCTACTCCTCCCCTGCTACTGCTGAGATAGGCTGTCTGTCACTGCCCTATCTCTTCCCCGATCTGTCCGCCTTTGCCACTGTAGCTGACCTTATCACTCACCTCCGTACTAGTGATCTCCGCTATCATGCCGCGCTTCCTCCTGACTTTCTCGCCAAGAACCCTCCCCCGATGTACCTCACACTCTACCACCTAGTCACTCGCCTCCCTGACACTCTTCGTGCTGTCAGGGACCACTTTCTCGCTCTCTCTCCCACTGACCTCACTGTCGACCTGCTCGAGAAGGAGCTCCTTGCAGCTGAGAAGGGTATTGTAGCTGTAGGTGCCTCTCGTGGCGACCCTCGCACTCCCTTCTTTGAGGGGTGTTCCCCCGTCCCCCTTCTCCCCTCCATTGCATCTGCTGCTGCTGTCGACTACCTCGGTGCTGAGGAGGTCGGGGCTGCGTCTGCTCCTAGTTTGAGGTGCAAGAGCGGCAAGGGCAAAGGGGGCAAGGGTGGAGGAGGTGGAGGCGGGGGCGGCGGTAGTGGAGGGGGTGGAGGAGGCGGGGGTGGTGGCGGTGGTGGGAGTGGTACTGGTGGGGGGGGAGTCAGTGGCGGAGGAGGGGGTGGTGGCGGCGGCGGTAGTGGAGGTGGCGGGGGTGGCGGTGGTAGTGGTGGGGGCGGTGGAGCTGGTGGCGGGCGTGGTGGGGCGGTGCAGCGTGGAGGCCAGAGGCAGCAGCAGCAGCGTCCCGGCGAGACCCCGACCTCCCAGCAGCTCCGTGAGTGGTACTCTCAGCGTGGGGGGTCTGGGGGTGGAGGTACCTGCCCGTACCTTATCCGCACAGGTGACCGCACTGGCCAGACCTGTGGGAGGTTCCACACGGCACACCGCTGCTTCTTTCGTCTCGACGACGCCTGGCGTGCACAGTTTCCTGACGCCACTGAGCTGCCCCGCTGGGCTGATCTGATGAAAAAGAATATTGATGTCTTTGCTCTTGACTTTGATGATATCCTTGGTGCCATGTATGCATTGACTAATATTGGAGAGAGTGACCAGTACCTGTGTGTCCCGCCTGACCCGGGCATTAGGACCAGTGAGGCTGCCGCTCTAGGTGCCAGTGCGTCTGCTGCCCCAGGTGCTGGTGAGACTGCTGCCCCAGGTGCTGGTGAGGCTGCTGCTCTAGGTGCTTGTGAGTCTGCCCCCCCTGGTACTGAGTCTACTGAGGCACTGCACACCTTCACACCGGACTCCGGTGCTTCTCGCTGTTTCTTTCGTGACCGCACTGCCTTAGAGCAGCTTGCTCGGCCGGTTGCTGTCTCCCTCGCTGACCCCTCTGGGGGTCCGGTCATTGCGACCTCCTCCACTGTCCTCCCTTGTCCTGCGGTCCCGTCGGGCACACTGTCAGGTCTCTACCTCCCCTCGTTCTCTACGAACTTGGTGGCAGGTAGTGCACTTCAGGACGGGGGTGTCCACCAGTTCACCCCTGCCTACGAGCGTGTGACACACTGCACGTGTGCTCGAACGGGTCGCCACCTGGCTACCTTCACTCGGCAGCCGGGGTCGGACCTGTACACACTGACCACTGAGTCCCCTCAGGTAGCTGCGTCTGCGTCTGCGTCAGGTCAGCTGTCGGCCCCCTGCTCGTGTCGCTCTCTGGCACACGAGACCGTCCTCTGGCACCACCGCCTTGGTCACCCGTCAGTGCAGCGCCTTCGTGGCATGCACAAACGGTACCTTGTCTCTGGTCTTCCCAGGGTTCTCCCTCCCCTCCCACCCTCGCCTGCTCCTCCTTGTCTTCCCTGTGTCGAGGGGCGGCAGCGCGCCGCTCCTCACTCCTCCTCGTTTCCCCCGACGACTGCTCCCCTGCAGACGCTCCACATGGACGTGTGGGGCCCAGCCCGCGTCCGTGGACAGGGTCAGGAGCGGTACTTCTTGATAATTGTTGACGACTTCTCGCGCTACACCACGGTCTTCCCCTTGCGCACCAAGGGTGAAGTCCCTGATGTTTTGATCCCTTGGATCCGCGCTGCCCGTCTCCAGCTTAGCGAGAGGTTCCACTCGGACTTTCCTGTCCTGCGTCTGCACTCTGACAGAGGTGGGGAGTTTTCCTCTGACCTCTTGAGGGCCTACTGTCAGGGGCAGGGCATTGAGCAGTCGTTCACGCTTCCGGCCTCTCCACAGCAGAATGGGGTTGCTGAGCGCCGCATTGGCTTGGTCATGGAGGTCGCTCGTACCTCCTTGATCCATGCGGCTGCTCCCCACTTTCTGTGGCCGTTTGCGGTCCGATACGCTGCGCATCAGCTCAACCTCTGGCCCCGTGTCTCCGTTCCGGAGACTTCACCGACACTGCGTTGGACGGGAGAGGTTGGCGATGCGTCGCGTTTCCGGGTCTGGGGATCTCGAGCTTTTGTCCGCGATACGTCCGCGGACAAGCTCTCCTCTCGCGATGTTCCTTGTGTCTTCCTTGGCTTTGTCCTGGACGCGTCTGGTTGGCAGTTTTACCACGCCACCTCGCGCCGTGTCCTGCCCTCTCAGGACGTCACTTTCGACGAGTCGGTCCCCTACTACCGCCTCTTCCCCTACCGCACTGCCCCGCTCCCCCCCCCCGCCTCTCTTCCTCACACCAGGTGCTGCTGTGGTAGACCCCCTCCCCCCTCAGGGTGCCGCTCCCTCAGGTGTGTCCCAGGTAGACCCGGTTGAGCCTGTCGAGGTAGCTGTCGACTCTCGTCCTGCTAGGGGTGCTGAGCCTGAGCGTGCGGAGCCTGGGGGTGCGGAGCCTGGGGGTGCTGAGCCTGGGGGTGCAGAGCTTGCGGGTACGGAGTCTGGGGGTGCTGAGTCTGGGGGTGCTGAGACTGGGGGTGCTAAGCCTGAGAGTGCTACGTCTGAGGGTGCTGAGCCAAAGGGTACTGCGACTGACCGTGCTGCACCTGGAGGCGCTCCCTCCTCCCAGCAGCTGCGGGAGTGGTACTTGCAGTACTGCAGCCTCAGGAGGGGCGCTTCTGGAGCTAGGGGTACTGCTGGAGCTGGTGCTCGTGGTTCCCCTCCTAGGCGGGAGCCGCCCTCTCCTCAGCGGCTCCGAGAGTGGTACGCTCGGCGCTGCAGTCTCCAGAGTGGCGCTACTGGTGTCGCGGACCCTGGAGCTGGAGCTGGTGCTGGTGCTGGTACTACTGACGCAGGAGCTGCTGGTGGTGCTGCTGGCGCTGCTGGAGGTGCTGCTGGTGCTGGAGCTGCTGGAGGCACTGCTCCTGCTGGAGGTGCTGCTGGTGCTGGTGCAGCGGACCCTGGAGCTGGAGCTGCTGCTGGTGCTGGCGCTGCTGGTGCTGGAGGTGCTGCTGGTGTTGGAGCTGCTGGAGGTGCTGCTGGTCCTACTGGAGGTGCTACTGGTGCAGGTGCTGCTGGAGGTGCTGCTGGTGCTGGAGCTGCTGGAGCCGTTGGTTCTGGAGGTGCTCGTACTGGAGGTACTGGAGCTGCTGGGACTGGAGCTGCTGCGGGGGTTGGAGCTGGAGGTACTGGAGCTGCTGGGGTTACTGGTGGTGCTGAGGGAGTTGTCGCTGGAGACCCTGGGGCTGAGGGTGCTGGTGCTGTCTCTGCTGGTTCAGGAGGTGCTGAGCGGCCGCGACCGTACTACGTTCCGCTCCTTCAGCAGGTTCTTGGCCTCCCGCCCTCCACTGGTTCTTCTCCTCCCCTCCTGAGTCCACCACCTGTCCAGTTGCAGTCACAGTTACCGCTTGCCTCTCCGCTACCTGGTCCTTCTCCTTACACTGCGCCGACGAGTAGTCTTACGGAGCGTCGTGAGCCTGAGTCTCGTCCTCCGTCGCCTGAGTCTCGTCCAGAGTCGTCTGAGTCGCGTCCAGAGTCGCCTGCCCGCGCTGTCCGCACTGGTCATCGTGCTTCGCGTCAGCGTCCTCCTCCTGTCCTTGGCACTCACAGGACAGGAGACCCGGATGCACCAGACATCCCGACCCCACGCTCTTACGCAGAGGCGATGGAGGGTCCCTACTCCTCTCAGTGGCAGACATCCATGGACGCAGAGATGGCTTCCTGGAAGTCCACAGGCACCTACGTCGACGAGGTTCCCCCACCTGGGGCGAACATCGTCAGTGGCATGTGGATTTTCAGGGTGAAGCGGCCGCCGGGTTCTCCGCCTGTCTTCAAGGCGCGTTACGTTGCACAAGGCTTCAGTCAGCGAGAGGGAGTTGACTTCTTCCAGACCTTCTCCCCGACCCCGAAGATGACCACTCTTCGGGTTCTGCTGCACGTCGCTGCTCAGCGTGACTACGAGCTCCACTCTCTTGACTTCAGCACTGCTTTCCTACAGGGTAGCCTGCACGAGGAGATCTGGCTGCGCCGCCCACCTGGCTTCACTGGATGTTCCCTCTTGGTACCCAGTGGAGCCTCCGGCGGCCAGTCTACGGTCTCCGCCAGGCACCCCGTGAGTGGCACGACACACTGAGGACGACTCTTCCTTCTCTTGGGTTTGCTCCTTCTACTGCTGACCCGTCGCTGTTTCTACGCACCGACACCACTCTGCCGCCGTTCTACGTTCTCGTGTACGTAGACGACTTGGTCTTGGCTACTGCTGACACTGAGGCACTCGCCCACGTGAAGTCGGAGCTGCAGAAGAGACACACGTGCACAGACGTGGGTGAGCTGACAAGCTATCTTGGCTTGCGGATCACCCGGGACAGAGCACAGCGCACCATCACCTTGACTCAGTCACACATGGTGCAGCAGGTCCTTCAGCGCTTCCGCTTCACGTACTCCTCGCCTCAGCCCACTCCTCTGCCTACAGGTCACTCGCTCTCAGCTCTGCCTTCGGATGAGTCCGTAGAGCCGAGTGGCCCGTATCCAGAGCTTGTGGGCTGCCTCATGTACCTGATGACCTGCACTCGACCTGACCTAGCATACCCTCTTAGCATCCTAGCACTCTATGTCGCTCCTGGCCGTCAACGGAAGGAGCACATGGATGCCGCTAAGAGGGTGTTGCGCTACTTGTGCAGTACGTCGGGCATGGGGCTTGTGCTTGGAGGACGGAGAGACGTTGTCCTCACTGGGCACTCAGACGCTTCTTGGGCTGACGACCAGGCTACTCAGCGGTCGTCTAAGGGTTACACCTTCAGTCTTGGCTGTGGTTCAGTTTCTTGGCGTTCTACTCACTCGTCTTCAGTTCTCAGCTCCAGTTATGAGGTTGAGATCTACGCCACAGCCATGGCTGCACAGGAGTTACGCTGGCTCACCTACCTGCTGACCGACCTGGGAGAGCGGCCTCGTTCTCCTCCAGTGCTGTACGTCGACAACAAGGCCGCCCTTGCCTTGTGTCAGGAGCACAGACTGGAGCACAGAACGAAGCACATCGCTCTGCGCTACTTCCTTGCTCGAGAGCTGCAGCAGCGTGGTCAGCTTCGTCTCTCGTACGTGGCCACTCGGGCCAACACTGCTGATGTGTTCACCAAGGCACTTCCGCCTTGTGATCATCAGCGTTTCTGTACTGTTCTAGGCCTTGTGCCTACTGTCCCTCACTTGCTCACTTCTTGACTCTGCTTGTACTGTGATCTCTATATATATACCTGCATGCTTCCACTTGCTAGGTTGTGATCACTGTACCTCTTGTTATATTATCAAACTGCATGTGAACTGGTCTTGTGACCACTTGCTTGTGCTCGGAATTTGTGTGGTTTCCTTGAGATCCACCCTGAGCTTACTTTGCTTTGCTTTGCTTTGCTTTGACTGGTCTTGTGACCATCTGGTTGTTTCCCACTTTGCCTATGGGGGTGTGTCAAACATTACATATGTTTGTGTTCTCTAGGCTGTAGTGGGTTTAGCCTTAGGGGGTACAAACTCTAGGGTTTCATACTTGTACTCCCAACTTTCCTAATGCAATCACCTCACTCATTCTGACATATCAGTGTTAAATGACAATGTCTGGGAAAAGGATAACGAAATCTGCTTGTCTGGCGGGACAGGATCGAGGAACCAATCCGCATTTAGCAGCCGGAACCTAGGACGCCGAGATAGTACCAAGAAACCTGACTTCGTGGCTTGAACCTTGGTTGATCCTGCGACCAGGTAAGATTCACCGATGTTCTCTTTTAGAACAAAAAAAAGGTATCCTCTTAAAGCGCTGGTCGAGTCGAACATTAAGGTCGAAGAAAAAGTGCCATCAGGCTGGAAATTGGTTGACATTGGGCGTGCCGAAGTTAAAGCTGAAGCCATGGCGGAGAGCTCAACATCAGGTGAAAATAAACCCATCAACCGAGGTACAATCACAATCGTCATCACAATCGTCCTCGTTCGATATGAGTCCTGTAGATGTTGATGATGATGATGCTCTGTAGTCTGTAGAGCAGATCTTGTGCTGTTAAAGTGATATGATGTGATGGACAATAATCGCAGTTATGCAACTCCTAAAACTTTGCACTGGTGTTTCAGCTTTCGTTTTTTTTTTTTTTTTTTTTACACTGATGGTTCAGTATACTTAGGATTTTCACACTGGCAAAATCAGTAGAAAAAAACCATGAACACGGATTTGGACACCTCTTTGGCCAGGGCACGCTGATCCATCAGCATACCCTCAAACCAATCTGAGGGCCTGTGCGCTACGTTAGCTCCGAATGCCGAACCTACGATTAGGTTAGGTGTGGCTGCCCCGCGCCTCGAGTGCCACTGCCCTGCTGCCCCGTGCGTCGCGCACACCCTGCTGCACTGCCCGCCCCGCGCGCCCTGCTCCCCCGCGCCCCGCGCGCCATGCGGCCCGCGCGCCCCGCGCGCCCTGCAGCCTTGCGCGCCCCGCGCCCTGCTGCCCGCGCGCCCTGCTGCCCGCGCGCCCTGCTTCCCTGCGCGCTCGCGCGCCCTGCTGCTCAGCGCAGCGACGCGTCCCTGCTGCCCCACACGTCGCGCGCGCCCTGCTGCCCTGCGCGCCGCGGGCGCCCTGCTGTCCTGCGCGCCCCACGCGTCCTGCTGCCCTGCGCGCACCGCGCGCCCTGCTCCCTCGTGCCCCGCGCGCCCTGCTGCCCCGTTTTCCCCGCGTGGCCTGCTGCCACGCGCCCCGCGCGCCCTGCTGCCCAATGCGCCCCGCGCGCCCTGGTGCCCTACGCGCCCCGCGCGCCCTGTTGCCTCGCGCCCCGTGCGTCTTGCTGCCTTGCGCGCCCCGCGCGCCCTGCTGCCCCGCGCTCCGTGCGCCCTGCTGACCCGCGCGCCCCGCGTTCCTTGCTCGCCTGTGCCCCGCGCGCCCTCCTGTCCCGTGCGCCATGCGCCCTGCTGCCCTGCGCGCCCCGCACGCCCTGCTTCCCCGCGCCCCGCGTGCCCTGCTGCCCTACGCGCCCCGAGCACCCTGCTTCCACCGCCATTACCGCCGCATCGGTCGCCACTTTTGCAGCTGCCCCTATCGCTGCAGCCGCAACCCCTACCACTGCTGCCCCTGCGACTACCGTTACAGCTGCTGCCGCCGCAGTCGCTACTGCTGCCCTTGCGCCGCTGCTGCTGACTGCCATTGCCTGTCATGGTTACTATCACTGTCTTAGCGGTTGACACACACGGACGCCCTTTCAAGTTAGGGTTGCGGCTTGCGTGCCTGCGCGTGTATCTCTGACGTTTCATTAGAGATGGTGTCTCCCTGTTCGAGCGCACATCGGGGTCCCTTCAGGCCCCCATGACTCCCACTGAGCCTGCTGTTGACACGGGCGAGGACGTGCAGTGTCGGTACCAGGCGGACCGCGTTGCCTACATAAAGTGGACGGAGCGCGACGCTGTCGCTTAGCTTGCCGTCCGAGCTCACCTGCCAATCGACCAAAGGGCCCACTTTCGTCAGGTGACGTCGGCCCATACTTATTACGACGATGTGGTTAGACACTACTCCTCCCTCTCTCCTTCCACCCGACCACTGCGAGAATGACGTCCGTTGATAGGGGAGGTGCAGCAGCTGGTCGAAGAGGCGAGTGTAGGTACCTGTACGTCTTCTTGTACAGGTGGTGCCACTGGTGGAGGCGGAGGTTCTGGGATTCCAACACCCGCTGATCTGCCACACTCGACAACACCCAAGCTTTGCTCCTCTCCAACACCCCAAGGAAAATGCCCCATTCTACCTTGCGATCGAGCTTCCTTCGTTGCTGGTCGGGCACTTTGTACTGCGCCATGCACCCCCACACTCGTGCACGTAGCGCGTTGCGAGGACGACGAGGAGGGAGGCGATGCTTTCGCGAAAAGGGTGATGAGAGGTGCATTTCCCGAATATGCAGGGTATCGATGGCGTTGCGTCGTGGAAAGCGGCGTGTGAAGTTCAGAATTTATAATTACTCACACATCTCACAAGCTATTATGAGCGAAAGAGATATGATTGAAGCGGGTTGGAATCTATTTTTTCAAATTTGAAATTTCACAGAGTGCACACATCGCGCCACAACGGTACAGGACGCATTCAGGATGGTTTCCTGAAATCCATCATGTGCGACACATGTGAGTCTTGGGTTCTCAAATCGAACCTCATCGAGCCCAAGGCACTGAATTACAAAAATGGCAAGACTGTGCACGGATTGCCTCACGACGGGAAGAAAGTGAAAACACAAGACTAGGTATTCATTCTGCCCCTTCAGTTACCAGCTCACACAATCCAATTTTGGTCCGAACAGGAAAATTTAACACGCCCTAACAAACTCGGCACAGAGGCAGAGGCAGGATGGCACTTGCAGCAGCACCATTTCTGCGTGCAAGCAACTGCTTGCACTCCATTCTAGTATGCAGCATCGCGGTCCTGTAGTGCTAATCTTCATGCAGCTTATGTTTCTCATCGTCTAGAAACACTGCCTGTTCGAGACCTCTATACACAGCCTGCATAGCTAGCGAATTTCTGCCGTTTTTCTCTCGTATTCTGACCACAGTGACTCACCCGCGCTGTGCTGTCGTTATGATATCGCGACTCGCTGGTCACCGCCCGGTGACCGGCCGGCGCAGATCGACGGCTCCAGCGAAGGGGAGAGATGGAGCGAATGCGCGGAACGCGAGCGTTGGGATTGCTGCGATAAATGCGACAAATGCTATAAATGCGACAAATGCGATAAATGCGACGGATGTCACGCACGGGCAGAACGGACAGAACGAAAACATGGATGAGGATGAGGAGACGAACTCACTGGAGAACGTGAACGCAACGACTATGATAGTAACGGGGGCGAGGAGCCACGACGACGAAACGAGCGAAGTAAGAAAAGCGATGGCGATGAAAGCGATGGCAGAATTGGAGGAGTGGATTGAAAAGAAGGTGGAGGCGATTTCCGCGCTGGCGGACGCGACTGGGACGGAATGGGCGAGCGGCGTGGCGCCGTCATCTCTGGGTACTAAGACAGGGCGCAAGCGAGCTCGCGTGGCGGATGGCTCTTCCTCAAAGCCAATGATGATGGTGAGTGCGTCTCGCAAATGTCTCTCAAATATCACACACGTCTCGCATGTGTCGTGCACATCTTGTATGTGTCGCACACCCCCGTGTGTCGCATATCGCATGGTCACACACATCTCGCATGTGTGCTGCGAGTGGCTCGGGAAATACTACCAACGCCTCCAAGGTACTGCTACCTTGGCCTGGGAGGTACGGTACTACCAACGCTTCCAACTTAGCGTGCATCTGATTGCATCCGACTGGGCAGGTGATTGACGCTGTTAGAGGGCCGTACGACAGCAAGGGCCGTCAACAACCGTTTGACTTGGCAGGGCGGTGGCTGACGACCTAGTCTACTCATGAGTAGCTGCGCGGGAGTTCGCGTGAAGCTCTCTCGCTATCGCTACGCTCTCCATTATATTCCTTCAGACGCATCATGGTTCCTCCTACGTAGGAGGTGGCATCTGGGTTCAGCGAGCATCTGTTCGCCGCTGCTTGAGGCCATTCGCGACAAAGTTTCGAACTTCAACTCCAGCATCCTCCCCTCACTCCCCCCCCCTCCCTCCCTCCCCCTCCCTTCTCCCTTCTACTCACCCTTCCGTCCCCCTTGCTCCCTGCTTCCCCATGCTAGCAGCAGCATCTGGCAGCCCTGTCAGCCCATGCGGAAGCCATCCGCGACAAGGTGCGCGGAGTGGGGAGATCGGTGCGCGGACTTGAGGGGCGGAACGCGGGGGGAGGAATAATGGAGAGCGGAGAGGAGCGGGGAGAAAACATGGAGAGGCAAACTGTGGGGGAGGAAGAGAAGGAGGATCAGGGTCAGGAGGAAAAGGAGGACGAGGGGGGTGAGGGGGAGAAGGAGGCGGAAGAGGAGGGGGAAGGGGAGGAGGAAGGGGAGGAAGAGGGGGGAATGGGGGACGAGGAGGAGGAGAAGAAAATTGATCTGGTAGACGAGACAACGGAGGAAGGGGGTGAAGAAGAGTGGAAGCGTGAATCTGCCGGAGAAGCAAGGGAGGAGATGGAGGAAGCTGTGGTGGGAGAAGGGCGAGGGGAGGAGCCGGTAGACGAGACAAGAGAGAAAGGGGATGAAGAAAACATGGATGGGGATGGAGGAGTAATGGAGGAGATGGAGCAAGCGGTGGGAGAAGGGCGAGGGAAGGAGCCAGTGGAGGCAGTAGGAGCAGGGCTTGGGGGAGAGGGAAGAGAAGGGCACGCGGCAGAGAGGGAGGGAGCGGCAGAGAGGGAGGGAGCGGCAGAGAGGGAGGGAGCGGCAGAGAGGGAAGGAGCGGCAGAGAGGGAGGGAGCGGAAAAGAATTGTGAAAATAACGCCAAAGATGCAGAGGAGGATGCAATGGAGGAAGGCGTTGGGGATAATTATGACCTGGTTGAGGTGAGAGGTGGCATTGAGGTGAGAGGTGGCATTGACTTTGCCTCTCCCGCTCGTTCTCGCCCCTTTCGCCCTTTCCATTCCTTTTTCCTCCTTCCTGAATTTCCAGTCTTTCTGCAAATTTACCTCAATACAATACACTTAGCTTTACACTTATATATTTATGTCAGCATGTCTTGTTACATTCACCTTGTTGCTCCTCTCGATTCCAACTCTGCACCACCCCTCTGCTCCACCGTTCACGAGCAGCCCCTCGTTGCTGAAAACGGAAGGGGGCGGGACAATGGGGACGGGGAAGGGAACGAAGCTAGAGAGATTATGCAGGGAAGCATGGAGGAGAGGAGGGGAGGGGAAGGCGTGGTGGGGAGGGCAGGCGGGGAGCAGAGTGGTGCAGGAGAGGCAGATGGGCCGGTGGGGAACGACCTGGTAGCGTCTGTGGAGCGATGGGCGCAAGAGGCGGGGCTGTGCAGAGCAGCAGCAGTAGAGCAAGCCGCAGCAGCAGCTGGGCAGGTGCAGAGTGCACCGGTGGGGGGAGAACCCACCAATGGTGAAGAGGCATTCAGGGCGCGTCTGCATGAGAAAATCGACGCCTTGCTTCTGCTCATCCCTGCTGATAAGCAGGTGATTCAGACACGAATGATCAACAAAACGGTCCGCTTTCTCTCTTCTCTGCAGCGGATCGTTCCTGAAACGCAGCAACTCAACGGCAACCCCGCAGCCGCAGCACCGCAGATCACTCCTGAATTGCATGAGATTACCCTCTCCAACCGCAACCTCCACTACTTTCTCTCACTGGCTCCCACCTTCCGCCCCACCCTCCTCCCCTCCCTCTCCTCCCTCTCACTCGACCACTGCTCCTCTGTCTCTCCCCACGACATTCTTTCCCTCGTCCATCTCCCCTCCCTCACCTCCCTCTCCTTCCTTCAAACCCCCATCGCTCCATCCGCCCTCTCCCTCATCCAGCCCTTCTCTCGCCTCCACCAACTCGTGCTCGATTGCCCCGGGCCCTCAACGCCGCCCTTCAAAACGGCGCCCTGGCAATTAAAGAGCCTGAGAGTGCTGCACTTGAGCCGGGTGACTAACGCAGTTCTGGAGCAGGTGGGCGTGCTCACGAGCCTTGAGATTCTCTCCTGCACGTGCTGTGAGGGGGTGCCTTTCATGGGATGGATGTGCCTCGTCGGGTTGAAACGGCTGAGGCGGCTCTGCGTGGCTCCAGCGCATCTGGACCGTCATGGTCTGAGGATGGACTATCCCAAGGGAAGCTTGCCGGTGGTCTCGCGAGTGTTTGCAAGGCCACAGAAGAAGCACGGGGGCGTTTTTTGGGAGAGCTTTCAAGAACGCTCACGCTTGAAACGCTTGGAGGGATTGCCGAGCCAAGATGACGACAGTGGGGTGTGGCATCTGCTGAGCTCGCTGCGAATTCTTAATCACCTGGAGCTGCATGCACCACCGCGCTACAAGCACGCGTACAGGGCACTCGACGAGCTGCACCTTCTCACCACTCTCCGCATCAGCGGGGCTTTCCTCGACAATGATGCGTTCACACGCTTGACTCGCGTAACGTGGCTCACCCACCTCAGCCTGGCTGCCTGCACCTTCACAACTGACAGCGTGGTGATGAAAATAGCAGCTGCCATGCCGAAGCTTGAGTCCCTGGACCTGTCGGGAACGGCAATCACCAAAGACGACACCGTGGACCTGAAATGCTTGAACCAATTGGAGCGCTTGACGCTGCAGCAGTGCCGCCATGTGGGCGTGTCGTTTTTACGGTACCTCTGCCTTGTGCCTCGGCTTAAGGTGCTGGACTTGGGCTTCAACAACATGCCGGCTGATTGGTTGAGGGATATTCTGCAAGGGAAGCGGGTGAGGCGGCTGAGCGTGAGGGGGTGTGGGTACAAGGAGAAGACTCTGCATGGGCTTGAGCGGCCTTGGATTGTGATTGAGTCGTGATGTGGTGGTTGTTGGTACCAACACGTGCTGCATGGCATATTATGGTTTATGGCAAACGCAGGGCATGTGGTGTATGGACTAAAATATTAAGGGAAAATGTAGGCCGTGAGAGCATGTGAGAGCATGTGAGTCTTGAAGTGTGTGAGACAGTATCCTAGGCTTATATTTATTTATATGGTGTTTGTTTAGCTATGGTGGCATTGATGGATGTTGGCCTCGTATTGAAAATAAAGCATTAAGGTACGCATACTGTTATGATATGAGTTGTAAAACAGAGTTGTGCGGAAAACAAATAACGAGGCTTGCGACTAAGTGAACTGACGATAGAATGAAAAGCACGCGACTATATAGCGCATCAACCTACCGTAGCTACGAGGGAACCTCGGGAACACGAGGTTGGGTGCAGGTTGGGCAAAGGTGTTGGAGTAAGAAGGGAATCGACTTTAGCATTCCCGTAGGTGCAGCCGTATCGCACCCGTCACTATCAAAGCAGAACTAGTAGCAGTATCGGATCAGCCCGTACAAGGGCAGGAAGGTCAACAGTCGCAAAGGTCAACTGTCGCGACTGTTGACCATCTGGACCGAACGACTCACCAGCGAAGAATGGCAATAGTCAGACTCACTGTAGAGATGCCTGTAAATCAGCTATAATAAGGGAATGTACCCCTTAGAGTACCTGGCTAGCTAGATCTATTTATTGTGTTGTGTGTAATTCTATCCTTTAATCAATCTTGTCATTTACATTCACTATGTACAAAGTTCCCACCAGAAAGAATTTCGCTACCAAATATCTCTAAGGCAGACCCATCCTATCCAAGATCCTCACTCTCACATGGTATGAGAGCTAGTTTGGATTATAGGAACTGCTACGTCTTCATTCAAGACAATCTTCATTATAAATTACTCTTACAATCAGGGCAAGCATCATGCCAGGCGCAGACTTCGGCGAGACTGGAGAGCATCCAGAAAATCCATCCACAAATGTCGCCTCTGGAATGACAACTGTGGACACAGCGCTCATCGAGCAGCTCATAAGCCGCATCATATCGTGGTCGTTCTCGTAATCATCTTCGTCGTCGTATGCTATGCGTGCAGGTGGCGACTCTTGGATAAACCATGGACACTTGCTGCGGTCAGCATATGGTCTCGTCGAGTGTCTTCATCCTCAACATTGAAGAACTCTTCAACGAGGTTGAAATCACCGTTGCCAACAACCATACGATCTACGCGAAAAGTCGCGGGCAGATCCAGCTGGAGTCGAACGACACCGGATATTGCATCCACATCAGCGATGTCCTCGTCGTGCCGCAGCTCCAGTTCAACCTCTTGTCAGCCGCTCAGCTGATGAAGTGTGGCGTCCACCTGCAAACAATCGAGAACCAGTTTCGCTTAATATACGAAGGAAACCTTCTCGGAAAGGCGATGAACGAAATTGGAGTGTTCGTGCTCGAATTTGAGTCACCCAAGACTTCTGACGACAACGAACACATCATCGTCCTCGATCCGCCCGGCCACCCGTCACCACCAACGTGGAGTCACCCAGAGGAGACGGATTATCAGCGCCCGAGCTTTGACGGAACCTTCCGCGCACTCGCCGTTCCGGTCGCCTCGACCACGAATCCTGCGGACACCGGACCTCGGCAATGGAGGAAGGAGAGGAGATCAGTTCGGGAACAACAAACACGGAAGCAGGAGGATGGGCGCACGCAATCTGGCCCCGCGTCCAACAACCTACCGGCTGGAACTCGACTGAAGGCTGGGAAGCGGTGGACGTGAGATGGATTACCGTCAACACTATACTTGGAGAAGCAATTGAAGCCGGACCAAATTGGGGAAACGTCGCCGAAGGATCTGCAAGAACGGAAGAAGTACACGAGGTTACTCAGGAGGCACCAGAAGAAGAGGATGAAGAATCGCTGACAGAATATGGACCTCACCTTATTCCCATCACAACCGACAGAAGGGACTATCTCCACGTCGAGACCAGGGGAGCAGCGATTGGCGACACCGACTTCGAGGAAGGAGAAGTTACACAACCCGAAGATCGCTGCCTGAGAGTCACGCCGACACCTTCTGAAGGGCCACTGGAGCTTCACGTATCACGGAGCGACACTTTGCGCAGCAGCAGTCCACATCTCCGTACCAGAAGAACCTGCAGAACAAGTGGGAATGGAAGCCGCAGAGAATTTTTTGCCACGAGAGAAGGAGTTGTATGCACGCTCGCGGGGATATCGCGCTGATCCCGACATCTGGCACAAACGTCTCGGGCACCCATCAATTGAAGTGCTCAACAGCTGCATCAACACAAAGGTGTTTGCGGAAGACGCACTGTTGCTGCCAGATGGAAAACTACTAAAGCCGAGAACCTACTTACCTAACTGCACCGTCTGCCCGACAGCTGCGCTGCGTCACACTCTGTTCGCCGAGAAGATACATGGAGTTGAAAGATACAAGCGGCTCGACAAGGTATACAGCGATTTCCTGGTGCTCACAGCAAAAAGACTGGGAGGAGAACAGTACACCCTCACCTTCATCTACGCTGCCACACGCTTCGTCTGGGCCGTAAACGTCGCTCACCGCTATCTCGCTTACCAGTGCTTCTACCTTTGGCTCAAGATGGCCAAGACTCAGAGCGAGGGCAAGACACTCAAGGCCTTCCAGACTGACGGGGCCCTGGAATACCAGACAGAAAGCTTCAAAACCCTATGCGCAGAGGAGGGAATCCAGATAATGATTTCCCTCTCCTACGCTCACGAGCAGCAGGGACTGGCAGAGCGAACCAACAGGAGCCTCGCGACAAAGATGCGAGCCCTCATGAAGCAGTCAGCTGTGCCAACCAAATATTGGCCCTTCGCGATGGCGCATGCAGTTCGCCTGCACAACATGCTTTCTTCGAAAGCACTGCCCAACAACAAGTCAGCGTTCAAGGAGTGGACCGGCAAAAATCCTGACACGCGCATGCTCCGGGTCTTCGGATGCATGGTACAGTACCGCCCCCACACTGCCCGCACCGGAAAGCTTGAAGACTGTGCCCGCTGGGGCATTCATCTCGGAATCGAATCAGAGTTTCACGCTTGGACCATTCTCGACTTTGCCACCCACCAAGTCACGCGTTCACGTGACTGCATCTTCTACGAAAGACTGAATCTGCCACTGTACCGACAGCACTGCACTGTACAGAATACACCAGACAAAATTTTCCACGGGGAGCACAGCTACAGACGAGGTTGACGTGGCGGGAGAACAGCCAGAGGAACCAACTGAAGGGGAGGCACCTTTTATACCCGTTACGGAGGAGTTCGGCACAGCGACATTCTTCCCAACCGAACCTGATGAACACGAAGCAGTACAGGCACAACATAATTACGCAAGTGCAGAAATGCACTCACCCATGGAGGAAGATCCCACTCGTGACTCCTCTCGCGACACCGTTCGCGACATTCCTGGCGATGACGACGACGTGGTCGAAGTTCCCAACGCAGCTGAATCCAACCTCTCCAGCCTTCGCATCCTCGGCCTCGCCGTCGCTATCCGGGGTAACCAGCACCTGGTCGAGCCCACCACCGTTTGCCAGGCTCTGAGCGGACCTGATGCTGAGAAATGGAGAGCAACCATGGCCGCAGTATTCGCCGCACTTCAAAGGCGCGGCACCTGGAAGCTGGTACCACCGCGACATGCAAAGGGGAGAAAAATCCTCACGGGAAAATGGGTCTTTCGAATCAAAACGCTCGCGGACGGCGCCATCGACAAATACAAGGCACGATGGGTCGTTCGCGGCTTCGGGCAAACGTAATTCTTGGTCTTTGTCAAGACTTACGCTCCCGTCGGACGACATACCCCCGTCCGCATCCTCATCTGCGTTTCAGCCGTGACGCAGCGGACGTCTCCAGCGCCTTCCTCTACGCGATCGTCGACGCAATAATCTACGTCGAGCAACCGCACGCCTTCGAGGAGGATGGAGACGCAGTCTGCCTCCTCCAGAAATCCCTTTACGGGATCAAGCAGGCACCGCGCCTGTGGCAGCAGTACCTTCACACCGTGCTAATCGAGCTCGGTTTCCAGCAGCTTCCACACGAGCAGGGGATGTACCGCCTTGAGTCCCGCGGTAGCTTCATCCTGCTCGTCGCCTACGTGGACGACTTGCTCTTCACCGGGGACAACGTGGAGCTGCTCGACCGCTTCGAGCACGACATCAAGCAGAAGCTCGAAATGACAGTGAATCACAACGTCACCCAGTTCCTGGGCCTCAACGTGATTCAACCGGCCGACACAATTCACCTCTCCGCCGCGAAATACGCCGAGACTCTTGCTAAGAAATTCGGCATCGCCCCCGTCGGCGTCACCACCCCCTTTCGCATTCCTCCGCCTAATCACGAGCCTGACACCACCCCACTATCTCCTGCCGATCATCCCCCCTATCGGCAGTAGCTCGGATGTCTACTTTTCGCCGCCGTCACATGCCGCCCAGACCTATCGTACATCGCCAACCACCTCGCCCAGTACCTGCGCCGACCTGAAGGGGAGAATATGGCGGACCTGCGACGCACCCTACAGTACTTTGTCTCTACACCTGACGTCGGCCTCACCTACAAAGCGGACTTAATGGCTAATCTACAGCTTACCGGCTACGTGGACGCTGATCATGCTGGAGATGTAGACAACAGGAGATCCCTCACAGGCTTCATCTTCAAACTTGAACCTGCAGGAACCATCTCCTGGAACTCACAGAAGCAGGAGCTCATCGCCCTTTTGTCAGCAGAAGCGGAATTTATCGCAGCAAGTGCAGCAGTTCGCGAAGGACTCTACCTCACGGAGCTCCTACAAGAAACAAAAAGGCGATGAACGGGTCATTCAAGTTACTATGTGACAACCAGAGCGCGATCAAGATCGCGAACAAACCTGGCTTCGTCAACCGCACGAAACGCATCGCCCTACGTTACTTCTTCGTCAAGGACGAAATTGACAAGGGCAAGGTCCAACTCACCTATTGTCCAACTGGC